AGACCCCAATGGGTTAAGAGTGTAAGAAAATGGATGGATGGATGGATTGAAAAGTTGAATCGGTGGATGGATCTTTTCTTTCAATTTAAAAAAAAAATGTTGGTGGTTAATTTTGACAGAAAATATAATCTGTGCTTTTTATCCACATGTTTGCAGACCTGGAGAATGCTTAATTTCAGTAGGTTTCCATGCTTTTCCAAAAAGCCTGGGACAAGGTTAACTGGACAAATGATTTATTCCTATAACATCTCTTCCCCAAAGGGAATGTTGGGAGTGATTTATATTGGAAGAACGGCTGTTTTGTCTCCTTCTTTTTCCTTTAGTCAGGAGGAATATGCAAGTGAAACAACTGCATTCCTTAAATTCTCCATTTCCCTTTGACGATCAAGGCTGGACATGACTGAAACGCATCTTTGTTCTGCTCCACCGCGCCACCCGCATCGCCTCCTGCTCATCCGATTAAAGATTGAATCTAAATCTTGGGGATTTTGCGTTTTGGAGAGCGAAATCATTCGATCCTGCTTGTGTACAACTCTAGCAAAAGCACAAAACCTATTACTTCTGACCAGAAGCGTTGGCTAAAAATACTTGGGGAAGAGAAAATTTCAAATTTTTAGCAAGGAAGGATCAGCATAAAATCCCAAAAATATAAAAAGAAAACTTATTGCTCTGTGTGTGTGTGTTTCAGAATCATCAGAACGCCTGGCCTTTCATGGAGCCTGTGAAGAAAACAGAAGCACCTGGCTACTACCAAGTCATTCGTTTCCCCATGGGTGTGTATGGCTGTGGTTTGTTTAAGGTTAAATATTACAGTCACATGAAGAAGTTTTTTCCTCTTAACTCTGTTTTTGCTTTTCAGACGGCAACAACCTCTGTAAACACAAAAAGTGGTTTTCTAATTTAATTAAGGGTGAAAGCTTTCCAAGGCAACCTGACCCTATGTGGAAAAAAATAAAATAAAATAAACTGGCTCTGCTACTGTATGCAGCAACAAACATCTGCAGCAACTGGCAATGAGTCTTGTAGATCTACAGTAATATGGGGTAATTTTAGCCAACTGTTCATAGGGAAACGATGAAACGTCACACCGTAACATCTCTGTCGGATTAAACTTCAGACTTTGACTGAGCCAATTCAAAGCCTTTGTTTATTGAGCCATTCAGAGGTGGTGCTCTTCAGGTAATCGTTCTGCGTGTGTAACTGAAGTACATTTAAGGCCACAAAATGGCGGTCAAGAGTTTCTGCTAGGCTAGAAAGAAGAATGTATGGTTCCATCAGCTGGAGCAAGTTGTCCAGGTCCAGAAGAAGCACCATGTTTTAGATGTAGATTTTATGTGCTTTATATTTCTTTTTTGAAATGCTGTTCCTGTAAACAACTTCCAAAAAGTGACATTTTTGTCTCACTGATCCACAGAAGCTGTTTTTCAAAGCATCATTGAGATTTTTGGGAAACATGAGATGAGCCTTTTAGGATTTTTTTTTTCTTTGGTCGGCAGTGGTTTTTAGCTTTTGGAATTACCATCCCAGGCCCTTATATTTAAACCATAAACTGTGACCTAAACAGAGGCAGATGGTAAATTAACTCGGCTTATGTTGAGCTTTTCAAGTCGTAGATGAGAAAAACGCTTTGGGCAAACGCCCAGCAACACTCACAGTGTGCAGACCGGTTGGTAAGTTGGGGTTACGTACTTTACCAAAGGCAGAGGAATCTACAATCAAAGTCACAATTTTCTGGTCGTTGAATGCTAATGTAGATGACTCCTATTCCAGCTTTCCACAATCGTCTTATAAACCTTGTGATGCGTTAGATGTTCTTTAGGTGTAATTTTGATTGTCAGGAAGGTTCAACACTGTTTCCTCAACATGTGGATAATGTCTCTCACTGTGGTTTGCTGGAGTCTCGGCACCTTATTTGGATTTGTGACTCTGTCTAGACTGCTGAGATGCCAATGTCTTAATCGTCTGTTATTGAATTGCTTTAGATTGGGGCGTGGTGTAATGCCTTTTGAGATGTTTTTTTGGCCTAGTTTATGTTGTCAGACGAGTTCTGTTCAAGTAATTACTTTAGTGTACAGGTGTGGTAAGTTGATCTTAATTCAGCTTTACAAAAAATACCTGATAAATCGCATCGATTTAATGACTGAACAAGTCAAGTTTATATGCATAGCACATTTCAGCGACAAGGTAAAAAAAAAATCACTGGACAAAAACAAGAAAACTCTTCACGTTTTTCCTTGATCTAAGGTGCTGTTATTTAACTTTTTAAAGTTATATGTTGCCTGTTTCACTTTGTTTTTACCCACAGACCTGAAGACGATGAGCGAGCGCCTGAAGAGCCGGTACTACACGACGCGGAAGCTCTTCATGGCCGACATGCAGCGCATCTTCACCAACTGCCGCGAATACAACGCTCCGGAGAGCGAGTACTACAAGTGTGCCAACATACTGGAGAAATTCTTCTACACCAAGATCAAAGAGGCGGGCCTCATCGAGAAGTAGACTAAAGACGAGAGGCTTTCCTTTCGAGAAGCCTGGCGCGGGTTGGGCTAGCGGGTAATGCCGAAGACAATAAAAAGAAAAGGATTATTGATTGTGGAGTTGGTTTCAGGATCATATCTTATGTTTAATGCATGCTGGCCTACATCCTGAATCAGTTCCTTATGTTTGAAAGATTTGCCCAGAGGGATGTAGACACTCAAGAACGGAGACTATTTCTGATTGTAAAAAAAAAAAAAAAAAAAATGGCATCTTTGATTTTTTTTCTTTTCTTTTTTGTGCATCCCCAAAAACTGAGAAAGCCTCCGTCATTCGTTTTTAAAGATGATTAAACGTTGACAGCTGACTCTTTTTTTTTTTTTTTTTTAACAGATCTAACTTTATCTTCTCTGTTTACACAGCCTCTTAGTGTCTACCTTTCTCCTCCCAGTTGACTCAGGTTGTCATGTGAAGGAGCCAAATGTTTGATGGATTAAGTCTTTAAGAAAAGTGTTTCCTGTGAGCAAAAACAAGCCGGAGCTTCTCTAACTGCAGCTATGAGCATGTACAGCACTAAGGTTCAAGTTTGTCTGTGATGAGTTCATCCTGCCAAAAGAGGAATATAACCTTTAAATTTTGTACATATTTTAATCATTTTGAAGCACTTATGCCCAATGTATATTTTAAATATCTATACCTAAAGTACATTTCCCCCCAACCCCAATTAACCCACAAAAGGGCAGTTCGACTATCAAAATGCACTTTCCTCCCCCTCCAAGTATTAACAGGAATTCTCGCCCATTTTCCTTTCTTCTACTTATGGATTACACTGTAAACTCAGAACTACTTTAATTATCTAGAGTTTATTCTTATTTATGTGCTTTAATTCAGAAGAATCATGTTTAAGACAAGGTCTTAATTTATTATCTTATTTTTGTCCTGCAGACGGAGATTGATAACTTTATACTTTGGAGACAAATGAAAAGATTGTGCAATACGATGTAGTTTTGCTGTTTTGTAAAAAGGTGTTTGTACTTTCCAAACTTTGGGAAAAATAACCTTTTTTTAATATGTCTGTAAAAAAAATATATATTTCATGCTCTTTGTACAATTGGTTTTATTGACCTAGAATTAGCCTATTTTGTAGACTAAATAAAAACAAATGTGAGGTTAATTTGGTGTTTTGTGCCTTTGTTTTGGGAAGTTTCACCAATCAAACCATTTGAGTGGCAAAATTAGGTTTTAAAAGTTTATTGTCACATACAGTACAGTGGAGAATGAACAATACACAGATGTTGCAAGATCATAGAATTAAAACAATATTGTAATCCAACCATTTTGGGAGAATATCTACATCTCTATGGAGACAAAAACGAGAAAGTAATTTAAATCAAGACAAACTGATCACGGTTACACTATCAAAAAAAAAAAAAAAAAAACAACCTTCGGAGACATGAAAAAATGAGAATCCTTTACGGGAACATATATAAAAATAAAGAAAGGCTTCAGTGACATCCAACAAAAGACTCGTTGTACTTCTCAAACGGCTGCTGGCTGCAAGACTTCCTGGATTTCTGCACAGACCTCCTGCCAGACTTCTGCTTGAAAATGGGAGAGCGAAGAAACTGTAGGTCTGTAAACTTGTCTCCACGCCGAAGTTTTCTGTGAGGAAGTTACAAACACCATTGTTTAAACATGTTTTAGTAAGATAGTAAGTGAACTTCTTAAAGAACTTACGCATTTAACGAAGGCTCCTTGTAGTCGACGGTCATGGTGCAGCGGCGTTTCCGAGTGGGAGCGTCGGAGCGGCGTGGGCCGCCACCGGAGAAATTGCGGTAGGCTGCAGGGGACATATTGGTCACGTCACACAGACTCAAGCCCCGCCCTGCTGACCTTACACCAACCCCACCTGTGGAAATGTGAGTAAAGATGTGATGGAAAGGAAATGGGGGGGAAAACAAAAGTAAATTGGTGCAGATTGAATCACATAGAAACAAAAGTGAAGAATTAAAGGCCAGAGGCTCAATAAACCCAAAGAGAGAAAAAAAAGTTTTTTCTTTCCTCTCTGAGAGGAAGCGTTGATTATAACTTACGTTTCTGGCATGTTTTGAGCCTTGGCGTTTGGCTCGATAAACGAGAAGAATTTTCAGAAGACGGTTCTCCAAAATTGGACAGGACGGTATCTATTCTCATCATCTCGGCCTCGATCAGAGGGCTGACAGCAGGGAAACCGTCCTCCGTTCTGTCCCTCTGATGTTCTGAAAGAAACAACTTTCAGGTTGGTATAAATCCACATAGCCTGCTCCCACAAACTATAAAAACAAACAAAAAAAAATAATCTAAAAAAAAAAAAAGCTTATTTTCATGATGCAGTGAGTTAAAATGAAAATAAAAGTACATTCCTAAATTCTAATCTCATCTTTCCAGATTTTTTTTTTTTTTGCACTAAAAATGCAAAGCAGCTCAAATAATCTATAACAGATATTTTAGCAGACGAGGTTTAAATACAGAAGCTGCAAAAAATCACAGAGAGCAAAAAAGGTAAGAAGAAAAGATGGATGGACAGAAAGTTGCAACTTTTAAATAGGGAGATAGGGAACATTTCATCAAACTAATTCATTTCTTTAATTCTTCCACCTACCAATTTCAATGTAATTAGATACTTCATCAGACTTCCTGCACTACAAGAAACTTTAGCTACATTCAGCAAAATATATGAATGAATGAATCCAGCTTTCACTCACTCTGGTGGCTCTCTTCACCCTTTCCAGAACGTGCCACCTCCAACTTCGACTCTTCATCCCTGAAGACTAATCAACAGAAAATTGGACATTTTCAGTGGTACCAATGAAACAAGGAGAAAACCACTAAGTTTCTACTGTGAAAACTCACCAGAGATCTTCGGGGTGGGAGGGATGTTTTCCTTTTTCCTGACAATCTGCGAGCGCCGGCCTCCGCGCGTGGCGATGACTTTAGTTTTAACAGGAGAGGACTGTCTCCGTCTTGGCCTCTGAGGGACGTACAAGCTGTCTTCCGACTCTGAGGACGGCGACGATGAGCTGGTTTCGCTTTGTTTGGGAACAGCCGCCGAGTCTTCGGCTTGTGTCTCCTCGCTAATGGGAGTCGCTGGCTGATTCTCCTCGGCTTTCGCCTTGAACGGCGTGATGTGGACGGTTTCCTCGCAGTCGAAGTCAAACGTGTCGTTGAATCCCAGCGACGTGTTGAGCTTGTTGCTCTGAGGTGGAGGAGCTGCTCTCCCCCGTGTGGCCGTGCGGTCCCGGCTCTTGGAACGTGCTCTGGGTTTGGGATTCTCCCAGGGCTTCTTTAGCGGGACACGATCGGGTTTGCGGCCTCTGTCGGGTTTCCGTGGAGCTGGTTCAGGTTTGGAGCGAGGCTGCTGCTGCTGCTGGGTTTGTTTCCTGCCAGGCTGCGGGTGTATTTTTTTGGGACGGACTGGCTCAGGTGTAGAGTGATGCAACTCCTCTGTGTCGCTGACATCCGCTGCCTCTGGTTCTGCTCCCTGGTGGTTCTGATTCAGACCTGAACTCTTGCCGTGAATAGGGCTCGGTAATACGGCCCTAAGATCAGTAACCGGGTCTGCATTGCTCAACCGCCGCTGTTCTTGCACACGCTCAGAGCGCCTCCTGCTTCTTCTGTCGCCGTGCCGACGCCTCACACCCACCGTGGATGGCAGAGCAGCCTCTCTGTCACAGTTAACGGGTCCGTTCTTTTTAGAAGGAGGGGAGTCTACGGAGAAATGGTTTTAAAATAAGTACAAAAGTTTTGATACGTTGAATACGAGTTACTTTAATAAATACGGCAGACTGCAGGCTGGTGATGTCATGCTTTATTATTTATTTTACTTAAATTTAGAATTCCTAATATCACTTTCTAAACCATTTGAAACAAGCTTTGCTGTTTCAAAGCTTGAAACAGCAAAGCTTTTTTTATTTTTATTTTATTTTTTTTAAGCTTACATATTTTTACAATATGTAAGCTTTTACATATTGTAAAAATTGTTTTACAATATGTAAAACAATTTTTACAATATGTTTTTATCAGTTCCTGTTTATTTTACACTGGCTGCTTTACTCCTAATTGAACTGACTGAACAAATTAAAGTTGTGCTGTTTGTTCGTATTTGACCAAATTTGTGAAACTATTGATGTATTTAAGTTTACTGTACAGGTGCAGAGTTATCAAATAAATGTATAATTCAGTAAGATTTAAATTGTGTTTAAAAGTCAATCCATCTCTGTTATTCTCCGACGGCTCATATTGGCCGATGCTAAATGTCAGGTATCCATATAAATGTTAGAAGTGAAAAAAAAAAATCATAAAAAATAGAGGATCAGTGCAAACCTAATCTACACAACAGCAAATAATTATACAGAAAGCAGAAATCACTGTACAAAATGTAAACAACTGATAAATCTATATCAACAACAAAAAAATTACCAGGACAAATTGGTGAAGCGTCGCACAACGTGAGCTGATCAAGCTGCTGACTGCTTCGCTTCCTCCTGAGAATTAAAACAAAATGCCAACAATAAATGCAGGATAAATGATGCGCAGTGACGCCCCAACGCATTGGCCAGTGACTGAGAAGCTGCTGTATGTCTAACGCAAAAAAAAAAAAAAAAAAAAACACTTCTGTATTTTCAACTCACCTCTCTAAATTCTGATGGTTTGGTGTTTCCTGTTGGATCCCTGTTGGTTTAGCCTAGACCGAAAACAAAAATAAATGCAACCTTGAAAACATATAATGTAAATAATATAAAGGTAAAAGGTGTACTGTGATATCTGGACACCTAAATAACACTCTGGATACAAAAAAATATATACTTGAACAGGAAATGGGCATAATTATCTGAGAGTGTACCTGTGAAGCACTTGCTGCCAGCGCCTCCTGCTCCTTGAGCTTCCTCTTGAGCAGAAGCAGGTGAAGGAAGAGAGCTTGCTGCTCACGCTTCAGCTGCAGGATCACTGCGTTGGCCTGCCTCACTTTCTCCTTCTCGGCCTGCAGGGCCACAGCCAGCGCCTTGTTATTCTGCTGCACACCTTTAAGGATGGTGTGTGTAGAACTGGATGCTAAGAGAAAATAAAAACAAAAAATATGATTTTTTTTTTCTTCTTTCAAATTTATTTATGAAGCACATTAAAAAAATCCCTGCAAGTGATGAATAAAAGATATACAACCCAGAAATAACACAGATATTAAAACACACTCTCATAAAATAGAACGCAGACAATAAATAGAGATGTTCCAAGTTTTTTGTTTTTTTTAAGAATCCATTCTAAAATATTTAACAGTTCAAAAATATTTATTGGCTTTTGGTCTTCAGCAGTATTTAGGTTAGAAGGTTATAAGAGCTAGAAAAACAAACAGGAAATTGTGGTTTGGTTTAGCAGAAGCTTCTATAAGATAAGTTTTATTATTCTTATTCAAATTAATGCTAGAATGGATCATATGATCACTCCTCCAGTACAGAGCATCAAAACCACAAAGAGAAATTTGGCATCTTCTGAAAAACCAGGAATGCATACCTAACCCTATGTATCCTACCATCAGAATATTAAATTTGTATTTTTTTTTTACCTTATGGGATACAATTTTAGAAACACTAAATGGGACTGAGAAAGATTTAGTAATAAGTTGTAAACAATACAATCAGATTCACTTAGATTTAAATTCTGCAAGTGTAGCAGCTGGACCAGAGAAACAACAAAGAAGTCAACTCATCATTAAGGGTTGGGAATGCTGCATTTAAAGCTAATGTAGTACAGTATCTGTGATGCTGAAACCTTAGTTTATAACGTATAAATTATGTGCGATTATATTTCAAATTAGATATACATTTTAATACATTTTTACACGCATTTGCATGGTCTTCGTCCCATTTAGTCTGTACAGTTCTGCTCGTCATAAACGCCCCCTGCGCTTCTGTGTGCTCACAAACCGGAGCTCTTAAACGACCGGAAGCTCTAACGAGTAAACAAACACTTACCTGTGGTTTTGTTCATCATTCTTGACCGTCCCCTGCTTGGAGCTGCAGCATTAGCCAGCTGTTTGTTCCTCTTCTCCTTCATCCTCTCCTTGATGTCCTCCAAACTTTGTTGGAAGGACTTCTTCTGGACTCTCTCTCTCACCATGGTTCAAGATCTATGTGAGTTATGAACATATAATCAACATATGTGTCCTTATTTATGTGCTCAGTTGTTTACCACAACGATATAGCGGGCTTAAACCTAAACCAAGATACTAACAGCGCCGTTAGCTAAACAACCCAAAGTCAATCGTCGTTACCGTTTACTAAAGCACACGGCTAGTTTTAGCAACAGCGGCCTGATAATATTTATGTATGAAAGAAAGGCACGTTGAACCTACCAGGATATATATTTTACGATGAATTTTAACTCCGCTTCTTTCTCTACTGCGAAATACGTCAAAAAAAAATTAAGAAAACAGAGCATCAACAGAATCCATTTTTCTAACGTCGTCTTCGGAGGGTGGACGTTCGAATTCAGAACCGCGACTGCTGATTGGTGGAAGTACGGCTTGACGTAACTTCCTTCTTTCAAGTGGAGGGATTGTTCGCTAGATGTCGCTGATGTAAAGAAACTAAACCACATCGTTTTCCACGAGTGATGTCTGGACGTCAATTTTCACCATTTCAACTATGGAAACTGAACATATCTATTCAGCTTCAATGCTCCTTTATTCCTTGATGGATGTATTTAACGGTCAATTGGCGGGATTGACCCCGGACAGGCGAGCTGGCAAATAAATCAGTCCGCAATTTTGACTTTTAAATTAATAATATTGAGATTTAATTCCCAATTCTGATTTTCAAACTAAGAATAATGACATTCAGTCATAAAATTAATCTTAAAAGCCATAGTTTTTAATGCCAATACAGGGTTTCAATATTTTAGTATAAGTTTGACCTCCAAATTCAGTATTCTAAATTATAATTATTAATTTTAAAGCAGTTGCTGAATCTTGACTTTTAAAGTTATCAACATACAATTAAGTCAATAATTATGGTATGAAAAGGAATATTTTTGACTTTGAAAGTTGTCGAAACTCAATTATTATGACATTCAAATGATTTAGAGTAATAATTCTGACCCTCAACATCATAGTTAAAATAGTAGAAACAAAATTAAAGTTTTAATCAGATTTAAAAACCTCATAATTATAACTTCACAGCTTTTTTTTTTTTTTTTTCATTTAAGCGACAGCAATGGGCTTCCATAGTCATGTTTTACTTATTATTCCTTATTTGTCTGAATCTGAAAAGTGTGCACAACCACACTGCAACTCAATTATCTAATTATAATTCTTGGTGCCTCATACAGTCCCTTTCCAAACCTTTCCTGCCTGCATACCGGAAACAAACAAACCACACAGGAGTTATGCAGCACCAGGAACTGAGGGCCTAATAAACTCAAAGATTGCTGATTATATGTAAACATCATCAAAAATGTAAATTGGGTTGAGACTCATCAAGGGTCAGGCTCATTTTGCTCCACCAAAATTAATATTTATAATTGACTGCAGTAGATAAGAGTACAGCGCAGTGCAGAGTGCTGTGCTGCATTTGGATAGAGCAGATAATTGTGTTAATCTTGGAGCCCATTGACAGGCAGCATTTTCAGTCTTGTTCCTTGAGATTTTTCTAAACCTCTAAAGGCCCGTTCAAGCTAAGATTACACAGTCAATTATTAGATGAAAGCACATTTTAATTTCCCTAGAATGTCTTCTGCCACTCTCTTCAAAAGTCCACATTCCTGCCCTCTTGTTTTCAACAGCCAGCCAAAATCAACACCCCTGTGTGTTAATGCATTCACACAGATCCCCCCATTAAACCTACCCTAAATTCATCGGCACCTAATTACCTCCTGTCCAAGCTTTAGCTCAGTAAATCTTCTGGAAATTTTGCATTACCTCATATTGCATAATCGTCTGTGCTGTCAATGAATTTAAAAGTCAAAGTGAAACATGGCATGACTTGTTTTTGGCAAGGCACAAAGAAAAAAAGTTGCTCCTTTCCTGCGGGTCGTGAAGGCTAATATAATTCAGTTTACTGCACAAGCATCAAAGAGCGTGTCCGTACCTGCTGAATGCCACTGTGACATTTAGCAAAGTTTTTTTTTTTCTTGCATAAAGAAAAAGACACTATAGTCAGATTTTGTAAGATGTCAAATTTGTTCACATACATCACACACCATTCCTCAGCCCAAACTGCTAGAGCACTTTGTAAAGGTTAAAAAGGTTAAAGTCATCTACCGAAATTTACAGTAATTTTTTTTTACAGGAACGTGTGACCCAAATATTTTCTTTTTTTTTTTTTTTACTGTCCATGCTAAATTTTGTTTTACAGCAGCACGTTTTATTGTTGCTCATTTAAACGTTGAGTCGGCAGTGTGCCAGTGTAATGTGGTTAGAGAAGGTTCATGGAGTTTGCATGTTTTTTCCCCTTTTTACTTTTGAAAAACATTCAAAGTAAGTGAAGTAACAAGCAAATGTTTTTTTTTTTTTTTTTGCTAGTGCTGTGATGCAAGGAAGGACTTCTTGGACACAGATCATCATTTACCCAATGACAGCCAAGGTTAGTTAATACACTCTCAGTCTGATAAACAAGCCAACTTCAAAATTTCATTTATAATTTATTTAATACGACTACATGTGGCAATTCTAAATGTCATGTTTTGAATACATATATGCGCAACAAACATGAGCATTCTGCATAGTGTTGCTGATTTATGTAGTGTTTTTATTTTTAATTGTTTTCATTTTTTTACCGGAAAAAAAAAGCACCTGAAATATGCCAATCAATTCCCAGCAATTCCTCCATAAAAGAGTGGTGGAAATATGAATTAAATAACTTGCCAGTGTCAGTGTAGCATATTGAATCTGTCCACTTGTCACAAAATGTGTGTTGCTGTCAAGACCAACAGTGGTTTGGGACTTGAGTGTGCCACACAATCACTGTACCAACGTAGACCATGTAAAACTCAAGAAATGTATTTAGATTTTTATTGCTCGTTAAATCTACAGTGTTTTCATGCCTGCATGGCACGTGATTTTATTCACTGTAACGTAGTTTTGCACTACGTGGGACTGCGAGCTGGCAAATGCTGAATCTGAATTGACGTGGGGTGACAACAGGCGTAAGAAATCCAGCAGGGGAAACCTCTAATGAAATTGTAGTGTATTAAAAAGTGACATTTTGACATTGCCTCTAGTAGAACCACCTTGGTGTCTGTCATCGTCGGGCCTCCAATCCCAAACAGAGGAGGTTAAGGTCACGGGGGAGTTTGACAAAGCTGCAGTGCCGCCCATTTAAAACATATGACTTCAGCAGAGCGTGTCAGATGTGACCGTGGCGTGCGGCATACAAACAGGTCTGTGTTTCATGCCCTGCATGTTTTCTCACTGGGACTATATCCTCATAAGTCACTGAAGGATTTGCGGCAGCAAAGCTTTAGTAAGACCCCAAAAAAGCAATGATAAATTCTAACATATGTGGGCTTCTAGCAACAGGTGTGGGATTTTAGTGTGGGCTTGGTGACTAAGACATCATTCTGTTACAAAGTGCCCATACAAACCTGTAATGACGCACTGTTTTAACAATAACATCACTCGTGTTTACTTAAAAGGTAATATTCTTTGCTAAAAGCCTGCAAATGTCACAGCTGTTCTCTCGCAGCGGGGGGAATACAGAGTGGAGGTTTGTGTGTGTGTGCGTGTGTGTGCGTGTGTGTGTGTGTTTGTTAGACTTTTTTAGAGAGAACAAGCAAAGGAGGGGAAAGCAAGGAGAGGGACAAATAGAGCCAGAGGAGCTCTACTGGTTCTTGTTCAGCCTGGTTTAATAGGCAAATCCATCATCACACAGTCATTTCATGCCACCTCCTTGCCATCCACATGTCAGCTGCCAGGAGAAAAACTTATTATCACAGGTACAGGAAAGGAGGAGTTCATTAAAGGAGAAATAGAGGGGGCTCTTTTCAGCGGGGGACATCACGGCACAAAAAAGACACCACATTTTATGACTGTAGTTCAGTATTTTTCAGTGTAGCTCTGCTTATTATACATGTGCGATGCAATTAGATCAGAAACTGGGCAGATTTATTAGCTCACGCCTCTGTCCTGGCACGTCTAAACAGTCAATCTGCTTTTTTTCATTTTTTATTTTTAACCATAAAAAATGTTTTAACTAATCTGTGGCCTAATCTCCTAAGAGGCGTAATATACACTGCTACTTTTTAATATGGAAAATGTGCTCTTAAAGCCCATGGTAATGGAATCATAACAGACTGCGACCAAACCCTTAAACACAACTCCAAGGCAAAAAAAACAACTAGTAAATCAGATTACAGTTTGTTTTATGGTTTTTATGTTAACTGAAAACTTTAGTACAGGAGACTGTGTGGCGACAAAAATCCTAGCACAATTTTTAAAGGGAAACATAAAATATCTCACATCTATAGTGAGTAGGAGCAGTATTCATATCCCCTTAAAAGTTCACAATTTGCACAAACTTCTACTACTTTAGTTCATTTTGGATGGCATGTGATAGGCCGACATAAAATAATGGCAAATGTTCAAGTGGAAAGAAAGGGATACATAGTTTTCAACATTTTTTGCAGATGAAAATCTAAAATTGTGCATGGATTTGTATTGAGGCAGGCTGCTACATAACACTTTGTATAGCCATCCTTAGAAGCCAACACAACTGCATGCCTTTTGAGGTACGTCTGCACCAGCTTTGCAAATCTACAGACTGAAAATTCTGCCCATTCTTCCTTTTAACATAAACTCAGGCAGATTAGGAATGAGCAGTAGTTATTTATTTCTTATTTTTTGTTGTTGTTGCTATACTTAGTGTTTACTTTACCTGACCAAACTGGTTAGGTGGGAAATTGAAAGCAAGAGCTCTAATGACTTTCTATTAGCAATGGTGTTTCCTTGCTGTTTCTACGCTACATCTGTGGAGTACAAAACTAATAGTTGTCCTGTGCACAGGCTCTCCCACCTGAGCTGTGACTCTCTGCAGCTTCTCCAGAGTGACTGCTTCTCTGATTAATTCTCTTCTTAAAAGGCCCCTCAGTTTAAGTGGTAGATCATGTTTTAGTTGCTTTGCAGCTGTGCCATTCATTTCCCATTATGAGATGATGGATTAAATGGTGCCATGCCAGGTTTTCAAAACTTGGAATTTAGTTTCACATTGTTTTCCATGACTGATTTCTTTTATCCACAAAGTCATTACTGTACGCAAACTGGGCAACTTATGAAGGCACTTGACTGAATCATGTTTGGTTTGGAGGAATCGTGGCGACGAAATGTATATTTACACCAGAGTTTTCAGATTTTCTTTGAGAAAACACATAAAGTATCTCTGACTTGTTTCGGTCGACTACATCCAATTCCAATAAAATACGTCAAAGTTCATGTACCAAACACTGCAGGAATACGAATTATTTCGTGAGACCTCATAAATTTCTCCCAACTGCCTCTGAATGTGCATCAGCTCTGGATTTACTGTAAAGACGTGGGCTTTTCGAGTCACAGTGTCGCAAATCCAAGCGAAGGAACCTGCGTTAGCCATCACATCCGTTTCAGCCCAAGTGACAGCAGCACTGAGCCCCAGACGCACAATTGGCTCTCTGTGGGTAGCAGCATGGCCATTATGCTTTCCAGTTTGCTCTTAAACACCCTGCTGTGCCATTCACTTCACAGCCAACTTCTCCCCCTCTCTTTTACTGATCTGCTGCTCCATGCCATGCCCAATGCAGTGGTCTCCTGCAGCGCCAGAAAACCTCACAGGGTCTTAACAAATCCCGTCTGGTGCCGTAGGAGCAATGAATATCCACACTTTGGCAATAAATGGAGTGTCTGAAATTTACAAATTTTACTTCCTTGGGTGCTTTGCAATGTGTTGACCAGGACAGATAATGCTTGAAGCTTTTCTTTACCTGCAAATGCCAACCTTTGTGGCTTTAGACTGTACATTTCTGAAAGCGTCTAATGTAGGATTTCATGTTTTAATCTTTTTAGAAGACATGAACAGAGACTTGCCTGTTTAAACGGCGATCAATGCGTACTGTGAATGTTTAAAGTTTGTTTTAAATTATCACTATGTGGTTTAAGGCAGATGTTTTCTTCTTTTTTTTTTTTTTTTTTCAAAACGCAGCCGAGCTACACTGGCTCACAAGCACATGGCGAGCGCAGGTGAAAGTCTGACTTTACTTTGAGTGAGCAGAAGGTAAAGAGACCTTATAAGGAGAAACAGATGAAATATTCCACAAAACAAAAGGTCGACCACACAGATGCTCTCAGGTCTGAAAGGAGACTGAGTGATTGTTCAGCTGCTGAACGTTTTGGAAACGTTCAGTGTGAAAATCTTTTTTTATTGTATTTTAAAAATCAAAAACGGTTTTTTTTTTTTTTTTTTTTTTATTGATTGTGCGTCTCACTCATGTTTGCCTCCGTCATCTGTTCTGGTAAAGAAGAACACAGACGTGGCTCCTTTTAACAGACTGATTACCGATTGCAGATTTAAGTGAAGGAGTCTGAAACGCTGATTTCATAACAATCTAGGTAGCAACATAAAATCTCGACTTGGACACCGAAGTGCCTAGGGCCGGCCCTGAGCTCCAAAAGCTGTGATAATAATAAAATAAATGTAATCAAAACAAAGACAAGAATAGCAGATGCAATAAAAACTTTGTCACTGAAAATAGATGCTAAATTTAAAGTCAGGAAACTATAAAGAAGAAGGGAGGTCATGTCATGTGGTGGGCTTATTCTGCAGGGATATGCAGGGATATCTTTCATTGTTATGTGGAACAGTAAACTACAGCACATTCTGGAGTAGTTCTTCTTCTGTAGTAAAAAAAACATTGACTAAAAACAAAACACTATCAATCTGAAAAAAAGCTTTAATAATTAGAGTGAGAAGCTCTTTGAACTCATCGTGAGCTAAAGTTATGCAAATTAGAGCCAGAATGGTTTAAAAGCTTTGAAACTCGCCAAAATGTAATTGCAAGTGTCACGATTTTTCTAATCATTTGTTTCAATCTCGACGGTTTTTAACTGTCTTTGCTGCGTTTATTTTAAGTAGTGCCTCATAAGGGTCGTTTTTCAGATATTTTCAACTCGCCATGTCCCCTCGGTTTATCGAGATCTCGTTTTCCCTCATTCTCACTGTGTCGCTGCAATCACCCGTGAAAAAAGCTTGCTTTACGATTTGGAATAAAATACTTGCGCAGAGAAGTCAAAATCCCCGCGTAGTCAGGCCGGGGAGCTTATAACAATCCTTTTTTATGTGAGCAGCAAGCAAAGTTGCCCTCTCTCACGGCAAAAAAAAAAAAAAAAAAGGCAGCTCTGTCCGCCTTTGTAGTCCCTCCAGGTACGACGGAGGCAGAAAAATTTCCTGGATGCCAGACTGGGGCTTCTGTAATGCTGACACGTGTTTATGCGTGTATTTTTCTCTGCCATGAGTTTGATGATGCGGTGAGAGACAGAGTGGAGAGCTGAGCGCAGATGTGTTGAAAGCTAACCAGAGAAATATGACAAAAGGTGCAGGAGATGAAGGAGTGAAGGCTGCGGAGCGAAGGAGCCAAGGAGTTGAGGGGCCAGCGTTGGTCTGAATTCCAGCAGCCTGTGGAGAATCGAGCATCCCACACACAGATGTTCACAACCGTCAGGCAAAGATAATTCGTTATCGTAACAACAATGACCGCTGTGACAGCCTGGTGAGTCAGGATGCAGCGACTGGGTGGACCGTAGCTTGGCAGAGGCGTTTACTTTGGAGCGTCTGCAGCACACAGACGTAAATAATATGGAGCTCATTAATCCAGTTTGGCTTCAGTTAGCTGCTGAAAGACAAAAACAAGAAGAAAGAATGAGGGGGTCATGGAGAGTTGAGAGGGAGGCAGCGACCCTGCTTCTGACCTCTGGAAAGGTACAGTACGGCATTATTTAGAGTAGGTACGCTTTCAGCTTTCACATTTCATGTCGATGCTCATCTGGCCCATGCTTTAGAACAGGCAAACACGGGCAGCGGAGAACCCAGTGAACCTTTTTCTCTTTTCTTTTTTATTATTTTAGAGTGAATACTTTGCAAATGGTGTATTTTGTACACTTCCAAAAAAGAAAAAAAAAACTCACAGGCCCATGTTAGGTGGTGTGTATTATTTTATTGTATTTTCATGTAGATAATCAATCTGCCAATGAAGTAATGGGGAAAAAAAGTATTTTCTCCCCTTGTAGATTTTCTAGTTTTTGCTTTTAAGACACATTTAAAATTTGTTATCAGAGAAAGATAACTAACGTAAGGAACATTTGTTGTTGGGGGAAAAAAAACATCCAAACTTTGGTCGAGACAATTACTATAAAGCATCTTTTACATTTCTAAAGTAGTGTTTTTGGCCACAGCTGCCACATTTCATTGCAGTAATGTCAAAGTTTCTCAGTTGCATTCAGACATCTTTTCTTCTTAAGTCCAGATTTCTCCTTCCGCTTCTCCAAAGCCTTCATGTTATTTGCTCTTAGTCATTCAGAAGTGAACTTACTGGAGTGTTTTGGTCCTGCTGTATAACCCAAATGCAGCTAAGTTTAAGAATGTTTGACATTCTGCTTCATGATTTTCTGGTTCATGAAATTCATGGTTCCATCAAAAATGGCAAGTCATTGGTCTAGAAGCAGTAAAGTGGCTCCAAAGCAACAACACCACCACCATGTTTAACTGTAGGCATTATAATGTATCTCTGAAATACTGTGTTAGATTCACAAAGGATGTATTATACTTTTTAAAAAGTCCACAAGACTTTTTTTCTATAAATCTTCTGGGTCAAATATCTGGGTCAGATATTTATCAGAAAATGTGAGGCTGGTCTTTGTGTCCAATAAGGATTTTGGTCTTAATGTGTTAAAATGGATGACATTTTTTTTCACCCCAGTGTCTTTTTCTGATTATTGAATCAAACAATAATTCAAATGAGACTGCAGTGCTTTAAATGCTGTTGCTGGTTCCTTTAAGACCTCCTGAGTATTTAGTGTGGTCTTATTTGGGTTGGTTTGTCCTTGAATCTCTTTACGTCAGGTGCATGATGTTGATATTTGAGATGTTATAGCATTCTTCAGATTGGTTTTATTTATATTTTACTTGATTATTAAGTTCTACATGCTATGTGTACGTCACTATCAATCTACATTATTCTGTGTGCATAAAATAAACGTATTTGGTTGAGGAACCAAAATTGCCCCTATAGCCAATTGGTCCACATCCTCCTGCTAAAGCCCTGGAGCTTGTACTAACTCATCAGTCTCATCCAACTGCTTTTAAAAGGGTCTCTTTTTTTTTAAACTCACTAAAACATTGCTCAGAGCTACAGTGATGTAAGCTTCATCAGAGACAACCATTAAGATCCAGCAGAACATTCCAGCAGTGATTTACTGCAGAGAATGTAGCTTTAGGGACATGCATGTAAGGAAGCTTACATGCATGTCCCTAATAAAGTACCTATTCAACTCGAACTTGAATAAGTACTTTATTCTGTTTGTTTTGGGTTTTTTTAGGAGAAATACCTGAACACAGACCAAAAACAGGAGATTTATTGAATGCTGGTAAAAAAAAAACAAAGGAGGATAAAATGTATCTAAGTGTGAGTCAGAAAGCAACAGACTGTGTGTTTTGAAGGAGGCAGTGTCTTAGTCTGTCAGAGTTTCTGGCAATGTTTTAGGCGAACACATAGTCAGATAAAAAACAAACAATGAAGCAATGTTTCACGGCAGATTTTTTTTTTTTTTTAATGAGGTCAATATCCCTATGGCAAGCAGATGTGCCCTGCTGATACAATTTTGTTTTTTGTCATTTTCAGTGAATGGGACATATTGGAGCATTTGATTTGTTCTAAAGTTACTTTAGTCAATGAAAACGCTTTTTGCCTAAAGTAAGGCAAAATAGAAACCATCTGCAATCACTCCTAAATGTAATCCACAGCACCTATTTAAAAAAAAAAAAAACACTGAGTGGCTTTATGCTTACAGTGACATGCAAAGATTTGGGCAACCACAGTTAACATTTCCTCCCATGCAAGCAGAAGAAGAGTTAAGTCTTGCAACTGCAGCTTTTAATATATTTTTCATCAACGTTGGTGAGTCATATTTGGGAAGAAGAGAAGGAGCGCCATGGAAACGTTTCGGCTTCCCAATGGCAATAAACTCCTCGCTATGGTTGGCAACTTCCGAAAACTGAAAGAAAGAACGGAGACAGTAAGTTTGTTGAGCGAAGCCTCTGCTCATATTATCAATATATAGATATCAAAAACAGATATTCATCAAGGGGCCTTTTGTAATTTTATCCTTTTAAGAAATCAAATGGCTTTAACTGATAAAATGTTAAAATATTGTGCTTTTTTGTGCAGCAAAGATATGTTTCCTCAGACTTAAGCATTTTTTTTCATCTCTGATGAGGGTTTTCATGTAGTGCATTAGTTCTACCTGTAACTATACCGTCTATAAACAGATTTGCTTGAAGCTATGAAACAAAGAGTGTTCCTTGTCTAAATACATTTGTCACAGCAATTGTAAGATAGCACTGTATTTTAAAGGATATTTTAGATTGTTCCATTGGAAAACCCTAAAAACTAATTGAGCTGAACAGGTCCTTGTGTAAAAGAGGCTTTAATTAAGTAATGTTACAAATTTCTTGGAAACAAGGTAAAATAATGAATGCAAATTTAGGAGATTTTTCTTAAAAACCACTAGGTACAAGCCTGTAATAGCAGCTACTTCTTAACTTGAACCAGAAATTTGAATAACTGCGTGTGGAGGTCAGTTGAAGCGAGGCATTTCTGGGAGTCGTTTTCTTGCTTCAAAATGGTTAAAACTGAAATAATGGAGAACATACGAAAACATAGCTTTTCGCCAGCGTTTTAATAGTTGTTATGCTCACCAAAGTGCAAGTTGCCACCGTGCAGAGAGCGAATACTTTGGTATTTTTGTTTTGTTAGTTTAAATGTAAAAGTGGTTAAAAGAAAGTCAAACAAAAAAGAAAAATGCTTTTACATTAACTTTTAACTGATTTTTTTTTTCGCTCAAAGGTTTGCAGGCTACTGTATTTGTATAGCTGCAAAATACCCAGCTGTTAGTTTTTGTCATTCAACAAGTATCCCATAATGCATCCTGTTCCACATATTGCAGACCTGCGACAGCTTCATTAGCACCTGCACAAAGTCAAACACCACAGCATCTCTAAAAATACCTCATTTTTTTCACTGTTTCACTTTTTTTTTTATCTCCTCAACTCATGACATATTTTCAGTTTTTTTTCTTGCGTCTGCAACCGTTCCTCTGCGGTTCTAGTCACACCATTGGGTTTGCTGAGAGCAGGGAGTGCCGTCTTCTGGCAGATCTGGTTAGGATCTAGGGTCTTCGTTCTTGTTGGAGCTCAAAGCTGGCTGACATGCCGATGTGGTCAGAAGGGGGAAAACAGAACTGATGTGTGAGGCGAACAGATGGGTCCAGTGGCTGGATGAAGCAGAGCCTGGGGGAGAGGTTGGCTATGAAACAGAGCGTGACTTGAGTTTGTTGCGGTTTGGAGGGAGAAGGGCGCCAGCGGCGGCAGAGCAGCGGCGGCGACGGATAATTGACGAAGAAGGACACAGGAGGCGAGAGGTTTGGTCAAGTCTTGGTTTTTTCGCAGAGTAAGTCTTTGCTGAGGAAGAAGCACACACACAAAAATAAAACCTACCATCAGGTTCTTTTCTTCTCATATAGATACTTTCAGATTGGCATCAGCAGTCATGAACAGCACCCCGGCCTCTCCTTGGCGCCGTGCCTTTAAAAATGGCCTCTTTTATTGCAGTATCACTGCTTCACACGGAAAAAGATGAGTGAGGGAAATTTCACAGTGGAGACTGTCATGAAATTGTTGGATTTTTAAAAATCCGTTTGGCAACATATTTTGACATTGCTACCATTGATAGATTTTTTTCTAGTGAACTATATCTTGCTGAAACACCTGGCTACAACCACATTCTAGTTTCAGTTTTTTTTTTTATCTTCTATTACTTCAAAGAATTCACAATGCCACTCTGCTTGAGCTCATTTTGTATTTTAGTAGATTCTTGGGTCTTGGTTTGTTTTTAACCTTGATATCCCCGTGTTTAGTGTTGCAGTCTATGGCTTTCTGATTTGCTTGCATCAGATTCTTCTGTCCATTTAGTATTTGCTTTAGTTTCCTGACCCGTGTTTTCCTCCTGTACTTGTTTTTAGCCATTTTCCTTCAATACTCGTCTGTTCATTGTCCCACCTCTGGTCCCATAGCTGTTGCTAATTTAGTTGATGAGACTCACCTGTTGATCACTCCACTACCCCCCTCCCCCCATCCTCCGTGTTTGGTTTTCTTGTTTGGTTTCTTTGATTCTAAGTATCTCTTGTCACAACTACGCCTCGCCTGTTGGTTCTTGTTGGTTTCCTGCCGTGTGTCATTTGTACATTTAAGCTCCTTTCTTCTATTTTAAATCCACATTAAAACGATTCTGCCTGCCTCCTGTTTGCGTTTGGCGTCCCACGCCGGCACAAAACAAGACACCCAGAGGGTTTGTTGTCAAAAACTTCAACCTTAGTTTCATCTGAACCAACCACATGGTTCCAGCTGAAGTCGCAGGAGTGTTTTGCAAACTTCACATGTTCTTGTTTTCGGTGGTAAAACAGAATAGGCTTTTTCAAAGTAAGCCTCTGGCTGGCATGTAGAAAACCTTAAGTGGCTTTCATTCAGTACTTCAAAATCTTTTCTGTTTTCAGACAGCAAGCCTCCTGCCATCCTTCTGTGTGTGCGAGTGTGCGTTTGTTTGTAATACCTTGTGGGGACGATTTTCCTGACATATACTACGTTGTGGGGACCAATCGCTCCTCGTGGGGACCGGAGCCTGGTCCCCACGAGGGGAAACCCTGTTTTAGGGTCAGGGGTCAGAGTTGGGGCTAAGGTATGAATTGAGTTTTGGTTAGGGATAGGGTTAGGTATGTGATGGTTAGGGTTAGGAAAAGGGTAAAGGTAAGGTTTAGGCTGTAGAAATGAATGGAAGTCAATGGAAAGTCCCCACAAAGATAGCAACACAAACGTGTGTGTGTGTGTGTGTGTGTGTGTGCGTGTGTGACTGATGGCAACGTTTTTACTCTACGCTGCTTTCCGAGATAAATGTACATGTGCCTCACTAGATTGCTTTGCTTTATTGTTTGTCATGTTATTAAGAGTGACCTCAATTTCGCATCATATTAATATCCTGGGACAATATGAAGTAACTGAGTCATATTTAAAGAGTTTGTAAACAGTCTGCTTGATTAAAATAGCAACAACAACAAAAATCACCTAATGCTGCAATTAGATCGGGTTACGGCTAGATTAGATTAGATTGTGGTGGAAATGGTGACTGAATAGATGTACTCAAGTTAAAGGTTGGATTTTCTCAATGTTTTGCCGTGAAATTGGGCTTCTGCAATCAAGGAGTGATTTATTTTAAGCCCCTTTACACATTTATCAATAATTGTTGAACATGCTGCATTTATTCTGCCTGAATAATTTCAAACATCAAAGCCATACGGAGGTAAAAAAAAAAAAACTGTCTCACCTCTGTGACACTGTTTTCATAGCTGACATTTTAGTTCACTGGCTGCAGGGAGTTTCCTTCCTAGAAAAGCCTCCTGAGAATATACTCTTGTACGCAAACCCAACGATGAGAGAAAAGAACAGCACTCACTGCCTGGAGACTTTGGAGTCGCTGAGTGGGAGCGTAGGGGCTGAACTTTGGTTTGGCCGGTTTACCTGCTGCTCTGTCCTTGTGTCTTCTGCTGCTGATGTGCTGGAGCAGAAGACGGAAAGATAAAAACGTACAGCAGATTGCATCCAGACAGACACTGCCAGAGTGTAGAAGTGAAGATGAAAAGAAAAGAAGTGGGAGCAGCTTTCTTTGTTTCAAAAGATGAAAAAATTGCCCAGATGACAAAGGAAAAATTAAAAAAAAATTTGTATCAAAATGGGCAGATTTGAAGGTCCTTTTGATTTGACTGACCAGCACAAACAGATGGCTGCCACTTGCGTGGTACAAAATCAGCAGCGAGCCGTTAAATATTCATGAGCACCTGGCCAAAGTTAACTTTGAAACAGTTAGGTATGGAGACCAACACTACGCAGTCACATCACGAACAGAGAGGACAGCGTCAGACACAAATGCTCACTGAAATAGAAAAGGCTCGGTAGCTTTGTGCTCATTATCTTGGGAGATCAGCGGTTTTAACTCACCTGCATTGACAGGTGTGAGATGTACCCACTGTGATTTGGAATAAAATATGCAGAGTCCCGCATATCCTCATACATGACTGCAATTCATGATGGGAAATGAGATGAAGTTGTTGAACTGTGTGACTAGCAAATGCGGGAGACAGCTGACCTTTTTAAAGCTTTAGAGTCTATGTGTCGGGTGCGGTGGGTGAGAGGTGGTGAGGAGAGACGCAGAGCTGACGCTAACCAGGACTTAACAGTTCGACTGGAGAGCAGAACGTGAGACGACAACAACAACTGACTTCCGACGTACACACGACGAGGATCCGACAAGAGACAAAGACAACAGGTGGGACTAAATACACTGGGAGGGTAATCAAAGAAACGAGACACAGCTGGGATCAAACAGGGACCACAGAGACTCACAGGGGAACAGACTAATAAACACAGAAAAACCTCAAAATAAATACACAGAAACACAGATCATGACACTATGCAAAAGAAGTCTGATAAACTGTGATCTCTAACGTCTGGTACTTCATTTGAAGGTTGTACTCTACGGTATGGTCAGTAAAAAAACCCCAAAACAAAACACCAGGACCTTTGTATCACACATCATAAAAGCATAATAATTCTTTCTATTGTAATGAGTCAAAAAAAAGAGAAAAAAATAGGTACCTTTCATGTGAAATAATCACATTGTCTTAATCACTTTTTAAAGTCACAAATGTGACTTTAAAAATTTTAAATGCAAATCACTGCAGACAAAAACTTCAAAATTCAAAGTAAATAAGAAGCTTTATTTTTCCACAAGGCAAAAGCCAATGAGTTCTGAGTTTTTCAGTCCAGTGTCTTTTCATCTGCAAAGAAATCTCCCGTCGTGGTTTTGTTTAAACCCTTTGATGTTTTATTCCTTTAAAGATTTTATGTAACTTTGCAAATAAGTGGCAAGCACTTAATAATTTAACAAATTATTAAGTCGTCTGGATATAGTATGTTTTGACATATTAATATGTCAAACAGATCAATATGTTGGACATATTATTGTCAGATAATAATAATGACAACACGTCATGTTATTGTTGGACATGTTTTGCATAATATTCGAGCACCTAAAACCCACAACACCTCAACACCTGTTTACTTATTTTGCGGTTTTATTGCACCAGGCAGCCTTGAAGTTACTCATTTAAAAGTGTTTAAAGCTGGAATGTGTAAAAAGAATTTGCTCCACGTAGCAGCACAGCTCACCTGTTTGAGCTGAGTCTCGGAGTTGACGTGCACGTCGCAGATCTCGCAATGAAAAGTTTTGTTTTGGAGTCCAGTTGACGGCTCAGACGGAGCGGCCATCTTGGATTTGACTCCTATCCTGGGGAAAGACTTAATGGCTCCATCGCCGCTTCTGGCCTCGAGCATCGTTTTGTGCTTCGTACCTGAGCACACGTGACGCAATGTCAGCAAAGGCTCAAACACGACGCACGAAGGTAGCGCTTGACGACACACTCACTGCTTCTTACCGCTGTTGTGAGCCTGGAGCTGAGAGGCAGAGTTCACAGCCACCTTGCAGAGGGAGCAGTAGAGAAGTCGTTTCGCTTTCTCTTCCTCTGTCTCTTGATCTGGAGTCTCGGCTTCGCCATCTTTCTCGGCTGTCCTCGGACTGGCTGGCAGGGAGTGGTTGGTGGGCTCTTTTGTTGTTTCAGCGAGACCGCCGCTTAACGATGTTGTGTCTGAAGTAGAGTTTGGGGCCGAGGGGTCTAAAAATCAGAGAAATTCAAGAGAAGAGACGTGGTTACTCAAAGACACGGCTTAAAAGGAAATAGATGAAGCATAAAGAAGTGTAAGATGACACTGAGACGCACACTGGCCATCAAGCATCCATACAGCAGAAAAAATACTTTAAAAAAAAAACACTTCACACTAATGTCGAGATTTAACACTTTGGATCTGAATGACGAACAAGCTGAAATCCCACATCATGTTTCATCTAATTGTATTAAAACAGTGTGAACTTGCATGAAAAATCAAACCGTATCTGATGAGATTTTTGGGTGATATCTTTTTCTGAGTAAATTATAATAAATGTTTTTACTTTCTCAGTCTATTCTGAGAGACTATGAGGTATTAATAGCAAGTATGATATTAAAATAAGACATTAATACTAGAAGTGACTTTGGGTGAAGAAACTGTTTCAAGTTTTATATCTCTTTTAGTGTGTTATTCATTTTTGATTAAACATTGATTTTTGTGTAGAAATAGGTTTGTCCACTCAAACCTTTTAGTGTTTGAACAGATGAACAGATCAATAGTAAATTTGTAGTTTCATTTGATTAATAGCTCTTGGTTGTTGTCTCATTGTCTTTGGATAAGTCAAATAAATTAAAGTTCTCGTCTCTGGAAATGTAACTGATGGATAAATATGGAAGAGTGGTTGATTGGAAAGTTATATGGTGCATCATGATATGTTACATCTTTAACCTGAGTGTAATAGTCAATTTCTAAGTCCAGATTTAAGGATTTGGCTGATGCTTTAATTGACTTGCTGCTCATGTACCCGTGAACTCATCCTCTTTGTCTTTAAAATTGCTGGTCTCCGACAGATCCCTGAGACGCCAGTCAAATTACTTTTTCTTTCCAGACGAAAGCTAAAAACTCACCAGGCAAAAGGCGATTATGAGCGTTATCAACTTCTCTTGTCGTGCAACACTCAATTATTTCCCCTCGGATCTGCCTGCGAGCTCTTTAATTGACAGTTCTACATACAGATTAGCTGTGTCTGTTATCTTTAGTGAGAACCACCTGGTCCTCGAGGAGCACAGGCTGATTTAACAGAATCACTCAATGCTATTAACTATGATTAGACCAGCCTAGACGAGTGTGTTTGTTCTCACCGATTTCCCTTCGTCTAGATATCCAAGCGCTCAAACCTAAAGCAAACTCCAGCCTGAAAAAGTTCTTTCATTCACTCTCAAACACCAAAAACTACTTTTGCGGGGTTAGGAATAGGATGCACAATCTTTCTCCTTTTTTTTTTTTTTTTTTTTTAAGCCTGGTGAAAACTATTGCTTTTGTTTCTCAACACCTACACAAAGGCATCAGCATGGGCCAAATAAACAAAAAAACAAAACAAAATAAAACACACATATATGCTGGAAAGCGGTTAATGCTTCGACACACCTCCACAGTAATGCCGACGTGCCTCCAGATGCACGTACGCTACAGGGCGCGCGGTACGGCTGCCCACAGATCGCATTCAAAGCATTGTTCAATGTGCTTTTGATCTCAGGAGGCCACTGAATGAGGTCAGAAAATGTAGACACGAAGACGGAGGAGAGGATAATGCTCAACCTTTAATCTGCTGGCTGTGCAACCCAGCGCAGCAGGAGGGTTCTCGCATCAAAGAGTTAAAGTCGTGACTGAGAAGAGAAGGTTCAAGCTCCATGCTCATATATCTAACTCTGTCATATAAGTGGAGTCCATATGCACACACACAAAAGCACGGAGGAGCGCGCCTGCCTTCAGACACACCTTCTGATGTTGTGTCAGAGCCAGAGGGCTGTGAGCAGGATGACGAGAGGATTTGTGATGTGGTTTCCTTGGTGACTGGTTCGAAGGTCTTGATCTTTGAATCTGGGGCGTCCAGAGCTTTGAGTCTTTTCGCATGCCTCGTGCCACTGTAGTGAGAGGACGCCTGAGCCTGTGTGTTGTGAGAGAAAGCATAAAAACATAAAAAGTAAGCAAAAACCAGCACAGATCCTTTCACACTGCAACACTTTACATGAGGACTCCTTCCCTCCCGTAGTCGCATAAGATGCAGAAACTAGGTTACAAGTACAGGGACTTGCAAAAGTATTAATGCCCCTTGACATGTTTTTGTCAACTTACAACTACCACGTCAATGTTAGAATGCAGGAAGGACAATAAAACAGGGAATCCATGTTTTTTTAAACAGAAACTGCAGCATCTTTTTATTTTCACTCCCTGGTTCAACAGAACCAGGCTTTGCTAAATTCACCGCTGTAAATCTTTCCGGGAGTGTTTCTACTGGTGTTGCACATAAAAGACTGAGAGTTTTTTTTTTTTTTTTATGTAATATTTTCCATTACACAATGGCTCAAGCACAGTCTGTGTGGAGAGAGACTTTCTGTGAACATACATTTTCAAGTCACAGATTTTCAATTTGATTTAGGCTTGGACTAAGACATTTCAGGAAACAAATATGGTTTGTTTTATACCATTCCACTGTAAATGTGTCTGCGTGTTGGGGGTTGCTCTCTTGCTGGAGGGTGAAGCTCCGCCCCAATCTTTTGCAGCCTCTATACAGTTTTCTTCCAGGAATCTCCTGTATTTACAACCATTCATTTCCCCCATCAATTCTCACCAGCATCACTGAGGAAAGACATTATCACAGCATGATGCTGCCTTCTCTATGTTTAATGGTGGGGGTTGGTGTTTATGGTGAGGGTCAGTGTTAGATTTCTTTCACACACACACTCTTTGGTACTTTCAGCTTTGGCTTCGTCTAACCAGATCGCCTTCTTTCATTTGTTTGCTGTGTTATCAACATTGTGACAAACTGCGAACGGGACTTCTTATGGATTCCTTATTTTCACTCTTCACTAAAAGAAAGATTTGTGCAGTTCACAGCCAGTCGCCGAATAGCAAACAGATTCTCCTTCGTGAGATGTGGACCTCTGCAGCTAGGGTTACCATAGGCCTCTTTGCTGCTTCTTTGATTAATGTTCTCCTTGCTCTGCTCGTCAGCTTAGATTGATGCCCAGCTCTTGGTAGTTTTGCACTTATGCCATTTTCACTCTTTGTGATGTCAGATGATGGATTGGGCCGAGCTCCGTGAGACATTCAAAGCGTAGGATATGTTGTTTTATAACCTTGACATTGTTTTAAGCTTCTCCATAACTGTGTCGCTTCCTTGGTCTTCACAGATGCTCCTTCTTCACTTAGTGCTCTAAAAAATCATAGTAAAATCCGTTGAATTTTGATTAAAGCTGCAGTATGTAACTTTTATAAAAAAAAAATATGTTTTTTTATTTGTCAAAACTGTCACTTTGTAATGCCATTACAAGGCATACAATCTGTGAACAAAAAATCACGCTCCTCTGCCTTCTCTCAATGCTACTATTACCATCTGTAGAAATTCACCACTTCCACTCAAAAACAACCAATAAGAACCATGAGGAAGGTCAGCGTTGTCAATCACACACATGTATGCGCTGGGCATTCGTGGCAGGCTCAGAGAAGTTGTAGAGTAGCAGCGAGCGAGGGGGAGAATGTGAGCATTGACTACATGAGCATGATCGACAGCGCTAAGATCTTCCTCCTGGTTCTGACTGGTCGTTTCTAACAAGCAGTATATTTCTTATTTTGAGCCGTATATTCTGTAGTTAGAGAGTAGGCAGAGGAGCTTTTTTTTTTCTCACAGATTATCTGTGACAGGTGACAGGTTTAAATGTAAAAAATAAAAATAAAAACATTTTTCAATAAGTTACATACTGCAGCTTTCAAGGTTTCTTGAGACTGTTCAACAAATATGCAGTAACCTTTGCTATTATCAGCTTTAGTTGTAAATTCTAGGTAAACAGTGTCAGATTGTGACAGCTTTCTAAGTTTTACACCTTAATTCCTGAAATTCTGAAGCCCGTGACCTCAAAAGCCCTCTAAAATGTCTGGTTAATTCCACAAAAGCTTTCTTTTGAAAGGCAGACGCTAGATGTGCTCCTCAGTCAATCAGACATTGCATAAGGCAGCTAAACTTCCCCGGATCCAGTCAAACGGCCTTGAATCAAGGGCAGGTCTCTTCAGCCGTTCAACTGTCATAAAAGGGGTGTGTGTGAAAAAGCAAAAGACGTCACAGGAGCAACAGCTTAAAGTGAACGTTTCCCTCGAGACACTACCCACCTCAGAGTTGAATCTCACTCGACAAACGCTGCAGGAGCCGGGCTTCCTCTTCAGGGGTGAAGTTAACCCAAAGCATGGGCTAATCAGAGCTTTGTGGAGATGATCCATCTGCTGCAACAGATAATAAATGCTTGAAATCTGGCTCACGTTGCAGGAAGGATGATATAAACGCTTTTAATTTTGCTGTTATATGATCCTTTTAGGAAACGTGAAATCAAAAAAGTCCATAATTAGCACATTTAGCATCTGTAACATCACACATCGTATGCAAAATTGCACATCGCAATTGTGCAATTTTATTCAACATCCAACACCTTCAAGCTTAAAACTCGGCAGTCAATAAACCGAGAAGATTGGATTTACAGCAGGTCAGTCTGTTCTCAGGTTCTCACCTTTTTTAGTGTGCTGAAAAGAAATGAGCATCGGCATGTTCACATAAATCTTTTTAATATGCTCTCTGTGAAGTTTAGCTTTCTGTCCTTTGGCAACAAATGTGCCTGATTTGATCCAAATGCCCATAAGAATAGTTTTCCCTGATAAAGATGTTACAACTCTTAAAATAAATTTATTCCAAGAACACAATCTTACACGAAAGGTTTATCCAATACAGCCTTTGAATTGATTTATTCACTTGGGGAAAAAAAAATTAAAATGAACACTACTGTGAATTTCCATGAGCTAAAACATTTTATATTTAGAATCAAGTAAGGCAGAGATATGATTTGTGTTAATCTTCATAAGTCAAGAAATGGCTTCAAGAAAATTGACTAAATATAATCGACTGACATTTGCAATCAGAGCAAGAATTTAAAAGTCTGAACAAAACAGGAACTGTGACACAGTAAGCTGGATGTGTACGTTAGTTTGTCCTGAGCATGATGGTAGACAAAGTCTAATCTAGAGATTCACTTCTAGAGTACTGGTGGCATCTTGACATCACCGAAATGTTGGTTTAAGTGAAAACAGTCTCAAAATATGTGTGCGTGTGTAAAAGGGTTTGTGCGTGTAAAACAAACTCTGATGGGTTTTAGTGAACTTTCATCCATTCACCCATTGTCCTGTCAATCTGTGCATAGTCAGTTTAGAGAATTAACCAATCTAACCCCTGAATGTGTTGGACTGGAGGCACACTGCTTACAGATCGGAACCAGTTGAAATTTGAACCCAAGAGCTACATGACACTATGCAGCCCTGGACTAAAACAACCAACAAATATGTGGAAACCATGTTATGCTCCCTATCAATAAACCTTAATGGATGTTGTGGTAAGGAGATGTAAACTAGAGTAGATTAAGTACTCTCCTACCAGCAAGAAGAGGCTGCAAAAACACTACCAACAGAGGTGGCATAAAGTGTAATAAACGATTTAGTAAAAATCAACCATTTATTAAATTAAGTCCCTCCCCCCATAAAAAGACTATACTACTGCAATAAAAGATTCAATTCCATCTCTTTCCCTTTGGTGCCAATAAATGTGGGTGGAATATGTTAATTCACCAAATACACAAAGTCAGAGCCTGTGACTGTCAGGCTAGAACACCTGCATCTGGACCTGGAACAAACCAAACACGGAGCATCTTTTAGTCACCTGGGTTTGTCTGGTTCGGAAGAACATGAGCCACGTTTTCAGGTCTCGCTCCTTTTCTTTGCATAAAGCCTCAATGAACTGAAGTATGTGGGCTCTTCATTTAAGGAGACGGCCTTTAGCTAAGCCATGCAGACCGAACCCTCCTTCTATAACCTTTACGGTGCGGTGGAGAAGCTCGGTTTTGGTCTTAATATAAAACGGCAGGGGCCAATGAGTTTTAGTGACTCACATACCTGAGCACATGGCTTGGATTTCTAAAGTAACTGAAATATGACAGTAAACTCAGACATGAACTGCAGCAGTAAAATTATATTATTAGCAAATATTTATTGGCTGCTTTATTCTCTACAGATTAATTCAGACCTTTGAAGCAAAACTAAGTCGTCACAGTATTTTCACATAACAAAAACGTAACAACTGACCAAAATATACAAAAAAAAACATCTTTGATCTACGAGACGAAATATTTGCATTTTATCTTTAAATGTAACTGTAGCTGCAGCTTACTAAGAATTATTTCTTTACATGTTGTCTGCTCCAAGCTAACACACTGAGTATAGGTTCATGGTAACAGGTGGCTGAGGTTTTGCCTGCAAAACACCGTGTGTGGCGGAAAGTCAACAGACCATGCCCACCTTCAAACCTAATAGTGGCAGAATCATGCTGTGGGAATGTTTTCTTTAACAGTGAAGTTGATAGCATAGTGAATAGAGCTACAGAAGAAAACCTGAGGAGACAAGAGAGTCTTGAATAGAAAGTCCACCTAGAGAATGATACCAACCGTTCAGGCAGAGCCACAATGAAATAGTTTAGATCAAAGCATGTTTCTGTGATAGAATGACCTAGTCAAAGTCCAGACCTGAATTCTATCCAGTCCAGGAAGTCCTGAAAGTTACTGTTCACTGATGTTCTTGAGAGTTTCACTACAAAAGACAAAGATCTTAGTCTCTTAGCTGTATTACTCTCTTTGCACTTTACCAAGATCACAAAGTTCAACTTCAGCGTGGCATACTTGCACACTCCAACTTCATTTAAAGAGACCTCTGCCCATTGGACTGCATGCAAGGATGGAAATGTGAACACTCCTATGCTGTTGTTGTTGGAAACAACAGTCTGGATGCCATGACAAACTAATAAAAACAAGCCTTTTTGCTATTGGTAGTGTTTCTCCTATAGGAGGAAAAGCAAGCTTACAGAATCTCATTTTTTCCAGTAGCAAAATTTCCTCTCAAGGGACAATGACCTACAGAGATTGGAGGAAAACCACTGTATCCTAGAAATTGTCCACATCCTGGTGCAGTTTCAGGAATTCATTACAGATAGCAGGGTAAAATGGCCCTCTGTTTAGTGTGTTTTGCAAGAAAACCTCTCTAATCAGCCCAGATTGCAACAAATAGATCTAAAGAACTGGACTATGGTAGCTCAAGATGGCAAAACAAGTCTAAATAGTTCAGCCATAATGAGCCAAATCCATTCTAGATACTTCGTAAAGCTTCAAAACAAAGTACGGCCACATAATATTCAGAGATCTGGGTCTTAATTTAAAATAGTCTAAAGATGCCCAGAGACTGTTTTCCTTCACGACTTGGTTGGAGTCCATTTGGACCTCCACGAAGCCGTGCTGACCACAGCTTCTGTAAGCCATTAAAAAAAAAAAAAAAAAACGAACAAGCTTATTTTTACTGCAACCTTTTAAACCTGCAGGAGTGCCTGGTTCAGGTCTGTTTCAGGAACAGCGTCAGAAATTATTTGAAGACAGGAGGAATATTTGTGCAGAAATATTTGTGTTGCTTTACAAACATCAGAAAATCAATAACTTAATGACGAAATCACAGATCTTTCATCATCGCTCTTTTACTCCACAAGTAAATCTCTTGAATTTTTCTCTCAAATGTTCACGTTTACGCTTTTTGTCAATATCTAAACATCTCAAGACACTACTGGAAATAAGTAATGTTTTTCTAAAACCCGGCAACAGAAATGATGTAAAATGAACCATTATGCAGAAAAAAACTTGAGCAGTATTATAGAACAGGTTCCAAACTTATTGAGATGGCAAATATGTGTTTGAAACTTTAAATTAATTAATCTTTTATTGCAGTTCTGTACTATTTGTACCAGTGTTGTGTTCAAGACCACCTA